CTTCTGCCAACTACTGTGATCAATCATCAAACACGGACGTTTTCTCAGCGGGAGGGGCGATTTATTTTGCTCCAAGGGGGCAGATCAGCCTGCTGGCTTCTGATTTCCAACTGAGGACCGAGAAGGCAACTCTGAAAGTTTATCTGCTCCTGTTTTGAAGATGCCAAACAAGAAGAGAACCCGTAGTCACCAAAAAACCACAAAGGAGGCCAAGGCAGTAAGTTTCCTCTAATTATTGCATAGCATGGGCATACGCAGCTAATGGATCGGGCCACTTCAGAATTAAGTTAGAGATGCAAGCAAACTTAAAACACCCAAAATGGCTTAAGGTTAGCTTACATGGTGATAGTTTTAAAACGATAGCAGTAGATGGATTATTATCCACTGTCATCCTCAACGTGTACATTTTCTACACATATTTTGGAATGTGATGAGTATTTTTGTTTAATGGCACTCGATGTTGTTGTTTATAAGCAATAGGTTCTCCTCAAAGTCAGCATAACGGCTGAAAAGCTATTGATGATTTCAGGGGGTCATTCCCATGTTCCCAGGGTCCTATGTTCCCCAGATTTATATGGCACATAAAGGGAGCAGGACAATTCTTGGAAACCAGTGTGTCGATGGGAGTGTGGGGGCAGGTTTCTGTCTAACGTTACAGGTCAGTGCTTGATTGTTCAGAGACCCTGCTGAAAAAGAAGGAGTTTACTGTAATCTGGCTGAGTCAGAAGAAGGCAAGACACACAGACCCGCTATGAGTAGTTATCATCTCAAGAGTGTGAGTGTGTGTGTATGTGTGTGTGTGTGTTTGTGTGTTTGGGGAGTGGCATGAGGGAAAAGATCCTGCAGTGAGGACAGGAGAGAGTGGCAGTGCAGGTTTGAACCTTTATTTCAGGCCAGTGTTTTTTGTTCTCCTGCTCCCCCATGGCGTATGCAGCATACTGGATGAGTCTTGTGAGTACAGACTTACATCTGTTACTTTTCACTGTCCTTCTCTCTTCTGTTTGGCCCTCTGGCAATACACTTAATAATAACTCAAAATGTAAAACTTGGCACCAGTAGGGACACTGCATGTGTGCTTTAACTGCAGAAGACCAGCACAACCAGTTAGAAGGTATCCAAGCTCTGCTGTTTGCTCTTTAAAACTTGGCGTAGGCTGCACAAGATAACCTTTGAGTTGAAATAAATTATTGTTAGGGCTTTGCCCATGTTCTGTCATACACATGCAGTGTTTATATATGAGGGTGTGTGACTGTTTAAACCGAGACAGGCTTCAACATGCATTCTTGTTTCAGCTTTGAATAAGGCTCTGTTACTCCTCAAGGTTGGGATCAGATCTTAAAGGATTAAAATATATTGTTTGAATGACAGTAGACAGTTATTATTGCTTACACCTAACACAGTTCTAACATATGTTTGACTAGAGCGTGTTTGCTTTTTATTTATAACGCATGTAAAAAAAAAAAAAAAAAAAAAGTTAGCAACGAGATGAAAGGAACATTTTTCGACAGATGTTAAATTAATAAACCACCAACACAATAGGTGGAATCACTGCATCCTGTCCAGACGTTCCGTTGAATGTATCGCCATAAACTCATTCATCCATCAAAGCCGATAAAGACTTACTGTAACAAGCTGGTGTGTCTTTCTGTTTTTTGTGCATATACAAACACACTGTTGCCTCTCCAGAATAAAAAACTATGAGCATATATAAAACAAACAAACAGACAGACAAAAGAAACAAAAAAATAATTGATACAACCAAAAAACAAAAAGCCACCTCCTAACTCACCAACCAGCCACCACCCCCGTAGCCAAAAGGCCAGTGCTGGATTTCAGGATGCATGTGAAGGAAACTCTAGGTTTGTGTTTGTCTCCCACTGCTGAGTGCACTCACACTTAGTAAAATAAGCCAGATATCAAAACACCTCGGATCTTGTTCATTTAGAGTTTCTGATGACCTTGCACAATCTCATCTGTAGCCACTTGGAATACTAGTCTTCACTCTCTGAGTCATAAACTCATTTGTCCTTTCAGAAATTCCTGAGCTGCTTTTATCTTTAATACTTAAAACGTATCTTTGCTAAGAATTTGTCTTCATCTTTTTAGATAAGATTATTTTCAGACTTTTACCATGAGAACTCCTGCCTGGCCCGTTACATTCATTTTTGGATGTCTCTGGAAGTGTACAGTTATATGTAGACAAATTGCACCCTGCATTCTCTCTGGGAACATAGGTGATCCAGTGCGTGAGGCGGTGATGGATAGAGTTTGTGTCTGAACTGCTGTGGCGGAGATAGTGTTGACTGTATTACGACATGGGTCTAAATATAAAGACGAGCGCCAGTTTGGTAGACGAGTCCAGTTACAGATGCACACTTAGTGTAAGTGGCACTGGCAAGTCATTCATTCACTTTATTCTCTCAGGTAACACTCCTAATTTAAATGGTGAGCTTTATGCAAGTGTGGAAAAATGCTGTAAAGTAAGAATGCTTACAAAAATAGACACAACAACATACATAACTATAAACATACAGCAAAAGACATTAAGAACTAACTTCAGTTTAAAGAATAACAAGGTTTCTTGAACAAGCAGTCCACAGAGGAACTGTGGGTAGTTCTCCAAGATCTTTGCAATTGAACCAAGAGGAATTGATGCTGTTTTGGGCAAAGAGTGGTTACACCAAACACTGATTTGATTTAGATTTTTTATTCTGTTCACTCACTTTGTATTTTGTTATCTGATAAATATAATCCATTAACATGTCTATTTTTGTAAACAGTCTTACTTTACAGCGATATTCCACACCTGCCTAAAACCTTTGCACAGTACTGTAGTACTTTTGGGAGGTTACACTACAAGACATAGTGCACCATCTAGTTTCACAGAATGGGTCATCTGGCATTTCACACTGTCGAAGGTGTGCCTGTCTAACAGGGAGTGTGCCAGGCTGTGGGGGCATGTGTGCACACATGTGAAAGCACGAGCATTTGCATAAGTGCAATTACATACATGCTGCGCGGCTGCAAATGTGCCCGTGCTATACATGCTTTGTTTGCCTTTTAGTACTTTAAAGCTGATGATACACGGAGCAACTTGTAGAGCAATTGTGTAGGGCAACTTTGCCATCAATGATAATGAGTAAAGATTACTACTGTAATCCCTTTCCCTCACCATTCCGCCACCCACCCCGCACCGCCCCTATCTGTTAAAAACATTGCCGGACTTGCCACTAGCAAGACTGCCCAGCAACATTGCTCAAAAAGTTGCCCCGTGTATCATCAGCTTTAGTCCTCTTGTACAGATAAAAGGATAGAAAAGCAAACGTGTGTGACTTCGTTCCATTGCTGTGTTTTCAAAGTCTGACTCCCCTCCACCAGCGCTCCTGCATTCTTTTAGGGATGCGCACATCTGGAATGCATTATATCAAGGGCCTAGAAATAGAAGATGTTAGATTGTTATATTGCCACACTAGTTCTGTGTTATTAAGATGTCACATAGCAATTTATTCACATTTTATCAGTGCAGGTCTACAGGTGTGTGTTTTAATAGTCTTTTATCATTCACGTCCACTGATATTAATTTGTGTGTGTATGTCTTAATTCTGTAAAGCATGCCAAAAGGGATGTGGTTTCTTACCATTCGAATTCAGTACCATATTGCATCTACTGTGATGTTACAGGTTGCAATGCCAGTTAACTATATTTTGCATCCTTAAACCCGTCCATGTAGCATGCTTAAAAATATATCTCACAGCTCCAACCTGTTTGCTGCACAAACAGGAGTTTCATGTCCCGCTGCTTTAAGCTCAGTAGTAGCATATTCCTTGAGGTTTGCTCTAAAACACTCAGAAGTGAAAGGCTTGGCTGTCAGAGTGCAGACTGATTCTATCAGAGCGACTCCCTTAAAGGCCTCATTGTCTGCACACTCCACCCGAGAACTGCAATACACGCAAGGTCAGATAAAGCGTTAAAGCTATGGCTGGAATTGCACTTTGCACCCACATTGCCTCTTCTGCAAATGACATGAAGACAATAGCAGCAAAGTAAAGGCAAATACTTTCCCTACACACTCATAATAGAAGGAATTATAGAATGTAATGCTGTCTTTCCACTTTGTGTGTTTGTTGAGTATACTGTTTAATTACAGCACTGTCTTAACACAAAGAGCACTATAGGTTAAGGTTCAGAAAACCAACACCCATGCAGTAAATCTATTAGTCATGTCTTCTGCAGAAACACTCTTCACACTTCAATTTTGTCTTGTAAAAGCATATTTTGCTGCCTCCCAGGCCACTTGTCACAAGTGACAGTCTTTGATTGGCTCATGCAGAGTCTATTGGATGATTGTTAACATTCTGACCTGGTGACCAGATGTTGATGTTGAAACCAGGGTTTAATCAATATCATTCCCTGCTATAATCCTCAAGAGGTGATGTAAGTGTAAAACAGGATAGGCTTGAATGTTTTCGGCTCAGTCTCTCATGGCAGATAGTTGACGCAATTGTATTATTAAAACAGAATTACGGCCCCTCCCTTCATTCTCAAAGGCAATTAGACAGCCAGGGTGGTTGCACAAGCTATCTTTTATTGCTGCGTGTACAAAAGGATGTGTGTGCCTCGGCACCTATGTGCTCAAGGCCTGCATGTCATCACAAATCTGGGTGTGTGCTTGTTGATAAGCAGCTCAGATACTGGCTCACATAAAACCGAGGGTGTTGCCCATGCGGGCATGTTTTTTATGCATGTGTGCCCGTGTGTGTGTGTGTGTGTGTGTGTTAAAGCAGTATCTGTTTACCCTGAGAAGGAGCTCAGATGTGGCCCCTCATCAGGTCAGTGTCAGTCCACCGTCAGCTCACTTCCCTTTATAGCCCAGAGAGTTACGGCCGGCCTCTTGTGACTTCCACATCCGAGCCTTCCCATCTGGCCCCTCTGCTCCCAGACCACGCCCCCCATTCGGCCCCTCTGCCCCTCCCCCTCTGTCTTTTCCCTGTTCCCCTCCCTGACTGTTGGAAACATGCTGCAAGCCGACAGACAAGGCAGAGGCTGACAGACATACACACACACAAACACCCGGAGGCACTTTTTACCCAACATGGGCCAGATACTGAGCTGGATCCGAGGTCCAAAGGACACCCCGGCTCTGCAGGATGTGGCCGTGGAGGAACAGGTGTGTGCAAATGTGTGTATGCCTATATGTGTGTGTTTGTGCCATGGTGCGTTCTGAGCAGCTAATCAAAGAGTGTCCACGTGTGTTTTGTCTCGTTAATGTACGTCAGCATCTGTTCATAATACGTGTTTGTTGTTCTGTCAGTTCTGCTAGTCTAGTTTCCACTGTTGTTTGTACCGATGTTGAGCAAAGGACTTATATGGGAAACACACATAAGGAGGAAAGCTGCCTTGGCTCTGACCCAAGCCAGACCTCCATCACTCTGTCTTTCTCTCTCTCTCTGTCTTTATCGCTCTCTGCTGGAATGTGAGGCTCCCGGTCAGTTTGCAGCCAGAGTCTGAATTTTGTAGTAGTGGGATATTAAACCAAGGCTGGGACAAGGCCTGCAGTGTTTGCTACCAGTTGCTACAGGCACCAAATGTCTGGCATAGAAAGTGACTGCGTGGTGATTTGTGACAGCTCTACATGGGCTGTCCTGATGTCAGTACTTTGTTATCAGGACTGTGTTAGTTTGCTCTGAGTCATTTTATGTGTTAAAGGTTAAATAGTGTCCTGGCAGGCAGACTGCAAACAGATAGTCTTCAGATTTTGGGTGGGTGGGAGTTTATGTTTCTTACTTCTCTCTTTACTCCGCAAGTCATCTGGCACCAAGATCATTAGACTGCCAGGAAATAGCCACTGAAAATATATCTTGACTGTGCATGCATAACCATGAAGAAGACAATAGCTGAACACTTACACACGTCCACTTCCTCCCTCTCAAACACACACACACACACACACACACACACACACAAACACACACACAGCCATTACGAACTGAGTGGATGTTATCCACATCAGTCTTGACATTTGACACTTGTGTTTGCATGCTGTCATACAAGTAAAAGCAATTTCAACACCTCAGTGGATTTAACTGATTTCTAGTTTAACTCATTTGTCAAACTTAGAAGCAACTGTTTGGTAACATAGTCGGCTCTCATACTGGTTGTTTTTATTGTATTGGCCTAAGGGACAAAGCTGGCCTTTAGTGCAGACTCTGCTGAATCATTTGCCCAAATGAAGGTCTGATGTCATGTATGTTCACTTTCCCACGGTCATCCCTTGATATAAATCACCACGTACTAGATTGGTAAGCATGAGCCTGTGTCATGTGCGGTTTATTGACATTATGTCACAATCTGTCTGGATGCTGAAGTTCAAATATCATAAACAGCCATTTACTGTAACGCTCTGCTAGTTGGAGCCATGTATGCGCAAAGTTAAGAAATAAAAATGTTTTTAAATGGTCTGAAGGCACAAAGCTATATTTATGATATGCTTCAGCCCATGGTGCACTACCTAATAAACCCTCAGGCTGTGTGTGTGTTTGTGAGAAAAAGAGGGAGAGCACACAGTGTGCGTTTTTGTTGACTCACTGCATAGCTAAATATTCCCTTTCCATTTCCTGTTAAATGTGCTTGTAAATGTTGGGTGTTTATCCCCTCGGCAGATTTTTCAGCACTCATCGGGACTTGTCAGATTTCTCACTTCGCTGTTAGTTTGGTTTGAGTTGACTACATATTCAAATGTTGCTCTCAGGCTTTTGTCACGTCAGTTATATAAAAGCAACTGTGGGAGAGTTTCCAGGCCTCTGGGCTCACCTGATGAATGTTCTTCAGCGAGGCGTTCAACACCAAACTCTTACTGAACTTTTGTTGCTGCTGTCTGTTTACATCTCCCATGCTTGAGGAGAAGCCGGCGCTCGCCTTACAAGCAAGGATAAGTAAAGAAGACCCAGCAGACTGACACTCGTTGGAAATTGTAATGTGATATAATGATTGAGATTCTTGGTATTGCTTCACATAAACACGTGGACGTGGCAAGCTGAAGGTGATGATGAGATGTTAGCAATCTTGTGATTATTATTGTGAGCAAATTTTCAAAGGTCCCAACCAAATCTTGGTGTCATTGCGGCTTTTTTGTTCTCTTTTGTTCTGTACTGTGAGGGGACAAAGTGCAGCGCTAAATTTAGAGATGGTACGTGGACGTGCGGCCGAGCAAAGACCATCTATAGTTTACTGGAAGTGTGGGGGATATGGGGGATACAGTTTCACACTATTTGTATTTTCTTTAAGTACTCATTTAAAACTGGTTGAAACTTAGTGATTTTTTCATCATTGTCAATGTTGTTAAGGATATTGTTACACTGAAGTCATTGTTGTTATAATAGTTAAATAGAGAGACAGTTAATTTTAAAAAAAATGGAGCTGTCAGATTTACATTATCCTTCTTAACATGGCCATGTGTGCTCTCTCGCTTTGTGAATACTGACTACAATAGCACCGCCAGGTGAAAATTGTAGCCTGCTAAGGGTTCATTGTAGTCTAACAGAGACGCAAAGATAAAACAGTTTTTAATTTTTATTTTAAGTTTTAAAGTTCAATTAAATTTCTTGTTTTCCGTTCCACTCAGTGTTTTGTTTTCATTCGTTGGTGGGCCTTCAGCACCACCTCGCTTTCACTTGCTAATGTGCTCTAATAATTAGGTTTGCACTGTACTGTTCAAAGGTTTTACCTCTTTGACTTTAGACAACACAAATATATATTGTGTGTGTGTGTGTGTGTGTATGTATGTATGTATGTATGTATGTATGTGTGTGTGTGTGTATATATATATATATATATATATATATATATATATAGTATATACAGACAGACAAGGCTACATTAAATTTAATGATCTGATCCATAACCGCACTATACTATAACCTTACAGTATAAATGATATTTAATTATTACACTACTTGCACCATGTCTGCCTCAATGTAGGCTACTGTATGTACAGTAAAAAAAGTCCCCCTCTTTTTATTCAAGTTACTGTAACTGATAAGTATTGTATTGTTGAACTTGTTGAAGTATATTTATTTGATTTTTATCTAGTATTAAATGCTCTAAGCTGCTGTAACATAAAGACATTGCACTGGAATCAATAAAGTACTCTACCTACCTACTTACCTACCTACTGTAAAACTTTAATTAATAGCCCGGGCTTTTATTTGCTTAAATCACTAACTCACCCTGCATATATTTGGTGTCCATATGGGACAGGCCTTTACCATTCTGGTATATCTGAATGAATTATACTTTGGTGCTCATTGTTTAAGTAAAATAAACTAAACGATTGCATTGTGGAGAATCTAACTCATCTAACGATGTGAAGCAACAAAAGTTTAAACATTTAAATTGGTATGCATGATCTAAACAGCTTAGCTCAAGCAGGTGACCCAGTGAGCTTCAAGAGGTTTTATACATCCGAAGAACTTCTATAAAACCTGAGTTTATTTGTAAAAAAAAATTGTGTAGACATACCAGGACAGGTTTCTAATTGGGACTAGCTTTTGATTGAAGTTTTACGGTATCTATCTATCTATCTCATTTGTATTGGCAGCTATGACGCCCTTTAGCCTTTATGATTACAATTGAATGATAATGTATTATTATGCTCTTTTAGTATGTTTTCCTCTGGATGTACAGAGTGTGGACTGTCAAGTCTGTTCTCAATAAAGATCAATGGCATAGACCTTACAGCATAGACTTCACAGCAAGTTAAAAAAATTACCAGCCAGTGTCTGTTTGGGACATCTTATCCAGGTAGTATCAGTGAGAATGAAGCCCAAACTGGACTGTAGCCTCTATCAGCTGTGATAACACTTGATGACTGGCAAAACATGCTATATGTATGTGTTATGCAGACAGATTAGAGATTCATCCTACCTGATAATGGTCCACTAAAAAGAACCTAGTTTTCATGTCAAGTAGACTGACTACGTTCCTACTTAGCCTCCCACTAAGCATGCACATGCCAGTGCTTGCTCTCTCTCTCTCTCATATACACACACACATAAACACAGTGTTTTTTGGAGTCGGTGGGGGCAGAGCTGTTAGAGGAGATTTCTTTTGAAAGGTCCCAAAACAGGCAGAAATATTTCTGCCAGGGAGATGCCAGGCCAGGAATTGTGCAACAGGTTGAGGAGATGTGTGGCATGCCTATTTGTCCTTTTTAAAGCTATTTTTAGACACAAAGAATGAGATCAGAGGAATTTTGAAACAAGACAAACTATTATTCTCGCAAAGAAAATACTGAATGTCTACAGTACTCAATTCTGAACTCTGTCTAACTTTACTCAAGGTGATTATCAGAAATGCCTCAAAGAATGCCCTTTTTCTGCAGTAGTTAGAGTTCACTGTAGGGTAATATAAAAGGGAAAGCGCATCCGCCTGTGTGTTGTAACACTTGAAACAAATGTCATGCCAAGTTCTAACATAAGCCAAGGACAACTATTGTGATCATGGATAAAATGCATTTTGTTCTAAAATAACATACAGTTCCTTTGCTTTGCATACATTCATGTGACCTTGCAGTATTACAGTGCAGAGACAAAACACATGTGGTATTCATACAGAACACGCCAGTCTTCTGTTTGTTAAGCATAAATCAGCACTTGACGGACAGAGCCTACACAGCAGTTTCAGATAACATACTGTATAAGCCTCCCTTCATTTTCGTATAAGTGCTCTGACACAAGGGGGTGCTGTTCTCCCAAAACCATCTCCTGTTCACATGTTGGACATGTTTTCTGTTGTGCTGTGCTTTATCTGAGAGGTACTTAAAAGTCTCTAGATAAACATTAGCAGGTACTGAACAATCAACTAATCAGTAAATGCTGAATGTGTGTGCTGAGTGGGGAAAGGTGACACTGCCAAGATTTTATTTAATTATCGCACAACCTCTGGCTGCTGTCCAGAAACTGTGTTTCCGGTCCTTTTCCTTTGTTCGGGGAGTACTATGAAGAGCTGTGAAGACTGGAGAGGAAACATCCGAACTTGTGTTGATGATCACCTTGATTACGGTCTCTTCCTTCAAGCCGTGCCTTTCTTAAATTTTAAATAGCCAAAGCAGATAAAAAGAACTGTCCTTGGGTGTGGTTTGGGCTACATGTGATGTGACCCCCCCTCCCT